TCTGACGTTTAGGCCGTTAGTCGACTCATTTTTAGTGAGTACCCTGAGAATACAGATGTATATCTGCTTCTCACAACGTCGTTCTTCGTTCGTAGCTGGGGACGTTTCGCGAGAAACACTGAAAGAGCCAATTTAAATTTGTGATTGGAAGTGTACCTTCAGACAAAAAACTAAAATAGAATAAATAGGGAAAAATAATCACTGAGGCATGTCACATTTAAAAACACTTAATGACAGGTCCCGAGGGAAACAGTCAACTTCGTTTCCCGAGGCGGAGCCGAGCGAAACATTGAGATGCAAGGGAAACATAATTAGCTCTATTAATCCTTTATTAAGTCCCCCGGGGGGCTCATTTATTTCAAAACACATTTTAAGGGTGGACTTAATAGAGACGGGGGCTTATTTTATTAAGCAAAGACCCTCTTAGTTCTCCATAAAGAACTCCAAGAGAACTCGAATACAGCTCAACCACAAGAAGTTAGAGGTCATGCAGTCGAGGATCAAAAACAAATCCGAACTTCCAGTTTGTGAATAAACCACCCCGGATCAGTCCACAGGAATGAGTGCGATCGTTTTTAAAATATCTCCAAGGGGACAGATATCTCGCTATTGAATTATCTTTGTTCGTATGAGTAGCGCTGTTGTTGGACATTGTTTTATGGTCTTGGGTTCAGCGCAGGCTACTGTAGACTTTTGCGCATCAGTCAAACATCAAATTCGTCGCAATGAAATGCATGTTAACATATACCCCACTAGCCTCGTACGCCGGCGTTTTTAGGGGATACGTATTTCTTCCCTCCCAAAACCCGACTAGCTCCCTTAAAAAGCTAGTCTATTACACAGCCGTTTTTAGTATCGTCACGCAACGCTCACACCAAAAACGGCTGTGTAGCAGTATTAAAAGCCAGTGTGGGATGGTAATATCACACTGCGAACGAAGAAGTATTTTCGGTGTTGCCGAAAATACGTCTGTGTTCACACGGAAATTATGTTGATGTAAAAATTTAGTTTTTGAGCTAACATAAGCGTTAATTTTATAACGCTTTTATAGACTTTGCTGTCGTACTTAAAACATAAAGAATCATCTCTAGGCCATCTCCTTCACAAAACAGGTTTCCTCGAAGCCCAAAGCTAGCCGGCGTCAATATCAGCCGTGTTTTTTTATAATCAAGAGAAGACTCTTGTTATCATTGACCACGTACAAGAGCACTCAGTCATCCCCGGCGGGGGAGGAGGGGGGGGGGGCACTCAAGGGAAGTTTGGGTAGCCGGGTGTGCCGTCGAAACCTTGAAAACATCTTCACTTCTCTACCCTTATGAAGTCAAGGGATCTGACATGTTACGGATGATGACCCTTATTCGTTTCGTTTTGCATACGAAAGTTAATTAAGTTATTTTTCAAACTTAGCGTGTCATGGAATTAGATTTTTGGGACAAAAAAAGGAGACCACTTAGGCCTGTTTCAAACGTCGTGCTACTGCCGTCACACTAAGCCAGTCTGTATGAGTGCCCCAGGGGGGCCTCATCCAGTCACACAACAATCATTCGTACCAGTTCCACTCGTGTGTTCAACATCCGACCTAATTCATCATCACATGAGTGACTGTGGGCTGTTTGAAGTTACGTTTTAGTACAGTTTGAATCTCCCATCTGTGTCTGCAATAACCGATGTCTTTATTTGGTGAATATCCTTGTGATCATGTTCCGTATCCGCCGAGTTACATCTCTTTTACAACAGCGACAGTGTCTTCCGTTTTGTGTTTGGTAACCATAACAGGAAACATTCTCGTTGTGTTAGCCATCTTTATCGACCCAAACAAGGATCTCAGATCGCCCTTTAACTCATTTGTAGCCAACTTAGCAATCGCTGATCTTCTGGTTGGATTTGTGGTCGATCCACTGGCGATAGCGTATCACGTGAGCGAGGGAACGGCGAAAAAATACCCAGCCGCTCTTGTCTTCATCCACATTCCTTACTTCGTTTCTTGCACAGCTTCAGTTCTCAGCCTTGGGGCCTTAACAATGGATCGATTTTTCGCACTGACTTCACCGGTGTCTTACCGAACAAAGCTAAATCCTAAACGAGCTAGTTTTGTGGCTGCAGGCATATGGGCTTTCTCCCTTAGCTTTCCTTTTGTGTACATCGTGACCGGATACCTCACCTACTCGTTCGTCTTCATTCACACCGTGATCATTGCCACATTTCTGGTTATGTTACTGACTTACGTGAAAATATTTCGCGTGTTTAAAGATCAGGTTAAACAGTGGGACTCGTTGGATCAGACTAATTCTGACAATCAAGCCAAGAGACAAGCAGTAAAATGGGAGCAGAAAGTAACCAAAACATTTATGATTATGTTGGGGTTATTTTTGGCATGTTATCTCCCTTCCTGCATTTGTATTTACATCATCAACCTTTGCTCATACTGCAGCTGTAATTTGATTCATTGGGCAAGGGATCTTCCTTTCCTTTTTATTTTGGCCAATTCAGCAGTGAACCCGTTTGTTTACGCGTGGCGATTTGAAAATTTCAGAAAGGCAATTGCCAAGCTCTTCTCCTGCCTGAAATGTAGTGGTAGTTCAAGGTCCAGAACAATTTACTTCGACAATTTGGCCATGGAAAGTAGAAGTTCCGGTTCGTAAGCTATCAGGGAACAAAGCACCGGACGTTCTTGTGTACCGTTGTAGTTAACGGCATGGCTGGCCGCGCAGAACTGAAACCATCACGAATGCCGACAGGATAATTCATTTGAAAATGTCTTTCAAAGATTCTACTACGGTTTTAAAGTTCTACCTTAACAAAAGAACATAGAAGGATTGGAAACTGTTATATTGGACATCAAATGTTAAAAATTTTAACCTTGTTCATACTCACGTTTCTGAACCACTGGTTTCGACCTGAAAACTTGCGTTTTGAAGTCTGTGACTGCAGACTTCGGCCTACGACCGAAGATGTGTCGGCCGTCGGCTAACACCGAAAATTCCCGCCGCACGCGATGGTACCCAGGGTATGACTGCAGCCCAAGAACGTCTTGACACGCGCGGTGGCTGTCATGCTGCAAAAATACTTCCGGTTGGCGTTCGCCGTACCAAGAACGTCTGGTGCTTAAGATCCCTATTGCAAACTTGAAGTCCATATCTGGACTCTACCACAGCCGACGTTTCCACATGAACGCGCTGTGAGCATTAGTTATGTTTTAAAAGTCAATATAATAGAGGTTGTGTGAGAGCCTGCTGGCTCCGGACTGTATATGATCAGGGGCACGCGCGAGACGCGTGGAGAGAGAGAGCGAGGAGCTTTCCACTTCCTCCTTCTTGGTTGTGTATCATTTACCGGACTGAAATAATTGATAAGTAAAACAAAGCAAAGATAACAAAAGATGTCAGTGTCTAAAGACCGGAGCATGAATAACAATCTAGATTCCGATATGGGAAAGTCCCTACTTTTCTTCGCACTAAGCGTTCTCTCCACCTGCTTCATTGAGGTCACGTTCCAGAATTTTAGCTTGATTTAGGTTTTAATTTTTGGAGGCCACTATTACGCTTGGATAGTTAAAATGTTAAAGGAAAGGATCTTATGTAGCCCATCCTAGCTGAACAAGGGTTAATTTTTATATTATTTAATAGCATGAACTGAGTGTTGTATGGTAATCGTTTCATTGCGTTAAGCATGAGCAAATCTGTTGTAAATAACCTTATTTAAATGCTGGAGCACATGATAATGGTTGGTATATATTTCTTACCAAAACTAATCTCTGAATATGGGGATGTATAGTTATTTTGACCTAACGAAATTTTCTTCACATATAAGGGCAAGGTAATCAGACCTTAAAATATACCGTTTCCGCCTTGCCTAAGGTTACTGAGGACCAATGAGGGGAACATGTCTACAATGTATTTTGTATTTAAACTGATAAAAGTTGAGCGTGTTTGCCGTAATGAATTTAATTTGGTAATGGCACAAACGATCTATAGTAACTCAGCTGTTTCTCGGGTCATCAGTCGTCTCATATTTACGGATAGTTGCGGCTACCCTACTGCTCGTGGTTAATTTGAAAAGATCTGCTTCGTTAAGCACTTAAGCCGACATTCTCAGAATTACAGTGTAATCCATTCCATGTAAATCACTTCGTGTTTCACTCGAAAACTCTATTTATGTTATTTTGTAATTTGTTACCCACAGAACGACAGAGGTTTGTTCACCCAACTCCACTGTTTTGGAGAAGCTCATTAATAAAGTTATAGCTCCATTTATTCCTCGGACATTCTTTAAGCAAGTTTATTAGTCAAAAAACGTCTTTCCCAAAAGAGGATACATGGTACATTTTAACCTATCCACAAGTGTAAATTTGCTGGAAAACGTCGTTTGAAGTTCTGGTCACTACAAGGGACCAAATCTGCCCACAACCTTTTTTTGACAAATCAAGCATTGCACATCTGCTTTGATCCAAATGACAATGACAGTTTTCAAAGTTTCGGCATGCCCCTTGCAGACTATTATTCCAGCGTTTGCATTCTCTCCTCTCGGCTTATTTCGTTTTTCGTCCGCTGTTTTTAATTTCACTTTTGGGGGGGATTTTATTAGATTTCATTTTGTTGAGAACGGTTTTGCGAAAACTTCAAGGAATGGTGAGAAGGCTAGCCTCTGGACATACGCTCTCACATTCTCCCCTAGTGAAGTACTTGACAACAGCGTTTGACTGACTTGATGCTACAAAACCAGCCATGATGTCAACTGCAAACCAGTCATTATAACACGGCCAACCATAACCTGCAGTACAGTCGTTTTTTCTTTGCACGCGCGAACAATGTTGCTCGCGAAATCGCCATGTTGCTGTCTGAAAATCAAAGATGGCTTTCGCCCGCCCAAAATACGCCTGAAAACCGTCCGAATTCGCGATGGCATTGGGAAGAGAGAGGGCAGTCACCGGTCCCTTCGCCAGATCACGGGCGTCTTTTTTTCTCTTGGCTTTTCCACTATCTGAGAGCCTTTCACAGGATAGTCTTTCAACCCACCTCCCTTCTACCCTCAACGGGCTGGCCACCTGTTGGGGGGTGCAGCGGCGAAGAGACGGCTGTCACTTTAGACTATTAAGTTTCTGCAAAACCGCCCACCTTCTCCTCCCCGAAGCCAAAATTTTTCCCTTAGTGAGAAGTTAGTGTTAATGCTGGCTTAGGGGAGGGGTAGGTGGGCAGTTTCCCAGAAACGTGTATGATCGTATATGATCCTTGTCCCCAGTGTCTCTCCTCTCTCCAGGGCAGAGGGCAAAGAAGAGAAACCCTGAGAACAAAGTTAAGGAAGTCCACAATGTTTGAACAAGCATCATAATGTCACCTGAAACGCCTTCAACAAAAGCGATAAGACCGAGGGCCTCTCTGGGAAGTGCTAGTACGTTAATAATCAGAATCTTGTAAAGTTAGGAGGATAGGGGCTCATGGTAAAGTAAGAAAACGTGTGCACAGGCGAGTTACTGCCAGCCCCAAAAGGGCAGTTGCCCAGTGTAGCATCAGGTCAGCGGTTATATCTAGCGCATGCCTACTGGAATAAAGTGTGTTCATTTGCATCCGCCATCTTGAGTGTATGTTGTGTCTTCTCGGAGAACACTTCACCCAGAAACGTATAAAGGCCGATACAGACGAGGGATTTTGCTCCCGGAGCATACTCCAGGGGCACGTTCCGGGAGCAAAGTTCCTCCGTGTGTACCAACGATTTCATGGGTATACTTCATCCTCGGGAACAGAATTTCCACCCCGCAAAATGCTCCACGATATTTAACCGGTTAAATATTTGGGAGCAAGCTCCCGGGCAAATTTAGCGAACTTGAAAACGTTCCCTCGTGTGTACTGACACGTGCAAAATGAGCCTGGAACATGCTCCGGGAGCAAAACCCCCCTTGTGTATCGGCCTTAATGATCCGAAGTTACTTGGACTGTCCTCGGCTAATCGGCGCAAAACGCACCTTATGCTGCAGCTCGTGTTGTCACACTGACACCGAAGCATGTTCATATAACTCCTATTTTAATTAATCTTCATTGGTTACCAGTTGAGTTTAGAATAACTTTTAAAGTCCTTTTATTGGTATACAAGGCCCTTCATGGCCTTGCACCTTCTTATATTTCTGACTTTTTGAATTTTAAAACATACTCTAGGTCATTGCGTTCTTCATGTAAAGAATATTTAGTGGTTCCAAGAAGCAGATTGAAAACATATGGAGACAGAGCTTTCTCTATTGCAGGACCTAAATTGTGGAATGATTTACCTCTAGAGATTAGGAAATGTGCTTCAGTGGCAACTTTTAAGCAATCCCTTAAAACTTTTTTATTTAAGTTAGCATATAGGTTATGAGATTCCTTTCGTTTTAAGATGTTTTTGATTTATATAGTAGATAACTTAGGCTATATTTGAATTATATTGCATATTGTAGATATTTTATAATTTAGATTTTTTTTTATATTCTTTTTTGTAATTAGGTAGCGCTTTGGACAATTATTGGATTTTAGCGCTATATAAATAAAATTATTATTATTATTAAAAGTGTTTTTAATTAATGTAAACTAAGGCTTAAAAAACCACTGCAAAAACCGTGAATGATCAATGTAGCTCAACGTTGGATCAAACAAAATCGTGATTAGTCGAAAAAGATAAAAACTGTTATCTACATGATTCAATGCCGCCTTTGTAATTTGCAATACACTGGGGAAACCAAACGCCGCCTCAAGGGCTGTTTTAATGAACATAGACGCCCTTCACTTAATCCCTCCGGTAGTTACATCCAAACCGCAGTTTCAGAACACTTTCCCAGGAATAGCCACTCTGTTTCCCATTTGTTACTTATCCCAATTGAAACACTTAGATATGAACGCGATTGTCTTAGGAAAGCACGTGAGGAGCACCTCATTCATAAAGCCAAAGCCATCGAGCCTCTGGGAATGAACAAACGTACCGAATAATAATCATTGTGTAATCTTTATCTGTTTTTCGGTTATTTTTCTTAGCAGCCACACCTTACCATGTCATACCAAGTAACTTCCGTTTATATTTTTTTTACAGTAGTATACATTCTGTATATTCATTGTTTTTCCCAATAAACCTGTTAAAGACTGCTATTAGCCTGTCGAAATATTGTATACCTCAGCCTTTTTCACGTTGTTTGACTAGTCTTTGCAGTAGTCTTTTTGACTTTAACTCCATTTTATTTAATCCAAGGAATAATTATTAACAAACAGCACTTATGTTGAGAGGAAATATTGAAATGTTTTTAAATATTGTATAAACTATTCTAGAATTCTTTTCAGTAATCCACTGAGCTAAATGTCAAACAGTGCTTCATCGAAAATCTTAATCCCAGGTAGCTGTTTTGGAGTATAAATGCTGACATTCATTCGCCCAACTTCCATCATAGGCGGCTCGGGTATCAAGAACTTCCAGTAAGGTAGCTCGCTTAGTTTCCCAGTTCTTGAAATCGAACGTGTTTTGCTAACTGCCCTCCCTGTAGTAGAACGCGCGCCACTTTTTCTTTTACTAAAACAGTTAGGATCCAGTCTGTCACTAGAAAACTTTTCTTGGTTCTTGTTTTCAGCCGTACCGCTCTGAAATGCTGTAGAGATCTTTACTCTTCTGGAGCTTGAAGAGAGCGATTGTTCATTTTTCGATTCCGTCAAATATCTTGATATGCTTGATCTTCGTGAACAGAGAGGAGATGATAACGGTGTTTCAGGAACTGGCGTCTCCGTGGGCGAACTGGTATTCAAAACACGATCGTGAGTTAAACGCATTTTCTCGTCACTGCACTGACTGTTAGGACGTGTTTTTAAACCTGCCGTGCTGTGTGTGAATATAACCGTCGATGGTCTTTTTCGTTGAAGCGGGTCGCAGTCTCTGTACACCGTAAAAGGGGTCTTCAAGTCTCTTTCGGTCTCTTGTGGTACGCATAACACATAAGGAGAAACGCAGATGTCAGGAAAGTTCCGGGTGTGCTCGTCGATAACAAATTGTTGCATTTGTGTTCGGGTGCAGTCGGCACATAACGTAGGACCAAGAACATCGCAGAACTGCCTAGAAAACTCATCTTTATCCGTATGCACTAAGCGATTACAGTAGTGTGATCTGGGAATGAAGCTGGATGAAGATTTGCTTTTGTAAACGCCTTGAGTTGATGCGTTTCCTTTTCTTAGTGAAAAACTTGGAGACGATAACCGGCTCAGGTCGTGTTGAGCTTTGTTGTCGCTTTCCACCCAGTTCTGTTGTTTTACTTCGCTTATTAAACGTTCTCTCATCGATTTTTCTATCTCAGTTTCTTCGACAAAGACATAGGCGTAATCTAGATTTTCGCTTTTCTTCTTTGAAAGTTTCGAATCTAGTGAGCTAGTACTTGATGTCTTCCTTCGAATCCGCGGAGGTTTTTCAACTAGTGAATGAACTGTAAGTCGAAAGCACTGAAGGGGATCTGTAGATTTAGCTTCACGTTTCCCGTCTCCTAGTTTGTAAAGAGCTTCTAAATTCGACAGTTTCTTTCCTGTTTTCACCTTTTGTTTTCTTGCCAGATTTTTGTTGCTCTGCGTAGAAAACCATCGAATTCCATGTGGTGCGGAAGACATTCTTTCTTCGCCCACAGCCATCATTGGCAATCTTTGTTTGTCAGTTCAAAGGAGCTGTTCACACTGCTGATTAAACATTTTGATGTCCACTTCTCTAGTTTAAATATTTACGTTCCGTTTTGAACTGTACAAACAAAGTGATGCACGCTGAGTTAAGCAATCATTCCAATTTTAATTAAAGCAATAACTTGTCGGTCAATCGGCAACAACGGACAGATACCGAACACAAAAGCTTATGTTCTGTAATAACACCTGTTGTACTGTTAATTTTGGCGGATTTGCATTTTCAAGCACTTTTTTGTCATAAGACAAAACATTCCGGTGTATAAAGAATTCCCCTGAGAGTTGTAACGAGTGTTATAGGGTTGTATATTCTGTAGTTTCTATGGCAACTCCTTTAAAGTAGAGCCATTGACCTGAGTATTTGTTTTATCGGGTTGGTAAATGTTTATTTCTACTTCCTATCGGAGTTCATAAGACTAAGGCCAAGAGGAAAAAAGATTCCCTTAAACAAGCACGTTTGTGTAGATAAAGCACTTGAGAATTACCAGCATAGTAGGTCAAGAGATTACACTCATCCATTCAATGTTCATTACATCAATAATTTGTAATGAGGTCATTTTTATAGTGCTATTATTAAACTCGACCAGCAATTACTGATGACTGATGTTTGCTCGTTCTTCGTAATTAATTTTGTTGTTGTGATGGTTACACTAATACTCCCCAAAGTCATGATAGGTTATTGCGGGAGTTTAACTTAATATGAAGATCAAGTGGGCTTTGATTTAAGCTATAAACAAACATATCGCCATTAAAAAAGAAAATGATAAGGCGTGCGATTGGTACGTTTGAGTACGTGTTAATATAATGGGTGACAAATTGCACTCACTATTAAACGTGGGTTCCTCACGTGTCTCACAGTCGAGTACTCCAATCATTTCAACGAAAAAGGCATACATTTTGGTAAAACCTAACAATTTGTAAATGTTTTTGGAATCGTTTTACCTGTTAGAACCGAGAATCTCGCACATGAGGGCTAACAGGTTGGCTAGAAACGAGACTAAAGCATATGTTGCGTACTAATAGTCATTTTTTGCAAAAAAATTAATAACCACAGGGGACCAAGCTCGCTGCATAAATTACCGCGCGATTTGATATCGGTCAGTATATTACCAGGTTTATAGACTTTGTATGAGAAATTCAATGTAGTTGTTAAAACGTAGAAATATAGGCATATAT